TAGCGGCACACGCAATGCATCAATATTCATAGCACAAGGGACTCTAAGGCACACCCTACAACAAAACCTGAGTCGGGACACAGAGGTTTAAAGAGACCCTCTGAATCCCGAATTGGACATTGTATCTCCTAGTTCCGATCCTCATACCTGTGTGACAGTAAATAAACAGCGTAGGGTTTGAGTATGTTCCTGGCAGATATTTACCAGAGGACCCTTAACAATTGAAGTAGGTTTTGGGGTATATTCCGATTTAGTTTGATAGAGAATAAAGAACCCTAAAGAATAAGGCAGCTAGTTGCACCCTTGTCCTTTTAGAAATAATAGACAGAGCCCTATACCTATATCCCTTAGTAGGAACTATTTAAGAAGGTCTACTAGCCGGGCTGTTTATTCTTTGGGGGGGAACCATGAACAAGGACAAGGCTGGGTAGTTGTTCAGGCTTCGGCACTGCGTGGATTAGGCTGGACCCTGTTCGACCCCAAGTTTCTGGAGCATACGTTTTTGAGGTTTAGGGTTTAGGGTTTAGGACGACTCAAGGTTTCACGCTACATGGCTGTCAGGCCCCTAGACCCTAAATCTCTTTCATCTAAACTTAAAAAAACTCTAAACCCCTAGACCCCTAAAGGGGCTTAATACTTCGAAAACTGTTTGACACCTACAATAAAAAGCCCACCAGAAAAAAAAAGATCGGCCATTGCCGTTTAGCCTATTAATGGAAACCTAGTCTAGTTATTTAAGCCCCAGTACTAAACCCTAGGGGTCTAAGGACTCATAAATTAAGGAACGCTTTTGGGCCCAAAGACCATACCATATATCGCTTTTGGGCTGTTTTGATTCCCAAAGGGTCCTATGTACTGATATGGTAGAATGTAGGGTTTCCATGTTAGGAATTACTATTATGGCCTAGGGAAGTATCCCTCATAACAGTACATGGGACCCTTGGGGATTGATCCTTAGAGAGAATTGGGGCCGACTTGATTTCGTGGTGGTCCGTTAGAAAAGCTCAGAGGCCAGGTCCCTCCTTGCGTCTAGACAAGGGGCTCCTTTAAGGGTTACTACAAGGGTTCCTTTAAGGTGTCTATAAGGGTTCTACAAAGGGTTTAGGGTTTAGAGTTTCCGAAAACAAGGGGTACCTGTAAGGGTTCCTTTAAAGGGTTATACTGTAACGGTACTATAAGGGTTCTTTGAAAGGGTTACTACCAGGATCGTATAAGGGTTCTTTTAAGGGGTTAGTTTCTTTTGATGGCTCTATAAGGGTACTATCACGGGTTACTTTAAAGGATAAGAGGTTTCTCTAAAGGGCTCTATAAGGGTCTAGAGTTTCCGAAAAGAAGGGGCACCTTATTTTGGGGTCCTTGTGATACGCATCCCATCTTTTCGGGTTTTAGATGAGGGTCCGCTACTTTTCGGAAATCCCCATAGACCATAGATCGATAAAGCCGCAAGAGCAAGGTTTCGGGGTATATAAGGGGGTTTCCGAAAATACGGAAACCTAAACAAGTGCATAAGTAATTGGCCAGACGCCTAAAAGTAATTACCTGGACCCCAAACGTATGTAGAATAATACTGTAGCCTTTTATAGGTTTTGGGCCATTATTCTACCTACTTTGGGGGGCTTAGGTACTTGGAGGATGATGGGACTTAGTAAGTAATTACGGCTATAAGTACCCTAATTGGGGTTATAAGACCCTATTTATAACCCCAATTACTAAGTCCCATGATCCTCCAGGTAGAGAGTGTCGTCGACCTTTCAGTCTTCACTTAGCGCGCGGGGTCTGCCAGGTGGGACCCCACTGGCATGGTCGTCTCAGTCGATGCGTAATCTGGCATGCACCCTGGCCCCGACAACGGAAAAATTCCCCCTAAACCCGAAACCAGAAATCCTAAACCCTAAACCCCCAAACCCCTAAACCCCCAAACCCTAAACCCCTAAAGCCCTACTTCTGGATGCAGACTGGGGCCGTTGGTACTGCCAGAGGAGAGGAGTCGCAGGAAGGCCCCCGGGCCTCGCCCTGACCAGGACTGCAGGTTCGTGAGTATTACTCTCTTCTTCAACAACCGGGCCCAAAAAAGTTCAAACTTTCTAGGATAGAGCTAATACATAAGGCCAGAAAGTTTAAAGTTCCCCCGTTCACTATCTAAGATTACTTACAAATCAGGGATATGTTTTCTTCCTCTTGAGGTCTGCTTGCCTCAGGACGCTAAACATTGTGATGGCCTAAAGGAGTTTGTTGTTGAACTCCTTTTCCCCAAGACCTAACTAATGGAGTTTAGGGTTCAGGCTTTAGAGCTTAGAGTTTATAGGGCTTTGCAATAATATTCATACCAGGTCTATCAGACTAATTAAGGAGCAACGATCCAGTGCTCTAGCTTGAAACTCTTACTGCTGGTTGAGAGGCGAACTCGCTTCTTTGCGACATCCATCTGGATGTTCAGCAAAGTTAAGAATAGATTTGGACAGCCGTCAATCACAGGCACCAGAACTCCGGACGCCTATGCTCCCGAGACCCACGCAAGGGTGTTTGTCAGTTAGTGCCTAATCAATTATTGTTTAGCGTGTTGAACATCCAACCAGTAGTTGAAAGAGTTCGTCATGGGTCATCTGTAACTTCGGAAGAGCATACCGGGCAGAACGCGGCATACTCAAAATTGCCACTGGTTCAGGAATGCAGAGAGCTGAGGACTACTAGAGTACCTGAACAGACGATGAGAAGACCTTTAAAACCGTAATTCCTAACTACATCCGGATCCCGAGTTAAACCCTGCTTGGCAAGAGGGTTCCGTCACCAGCTGAAACGGAGGAGAATGGAAGCATGTCACGTTGCAGCGCAGTCTGCCATGCCCAGGGACGCATTCCGATGTCCGATTCCTTGTTTCCACATGCAGAGAAAGCTCGTAGGCTCTTCTTCTATTGCTGCAGTGATGTCGTAGGCCACGTTATATGGCCCTAAACCGAAGTAAATTCGTTGCCTCAGCGAGTCTGGCTGCACCCTCGGCTGCTTCTCGCAATGGCAAACATCGGAATGCATACCCACACAACAGCCGCGAAATGTATACCGTCCTTGATTGTTGCTCTCGGCAGGTTTTGACAGCTACTGGCACATTATGAAAAGGACCGCTACTTCACAACAAACGTGGCCCCTACATGAAAGGCACTCTGCTCGAGGCAAGCCTGCTTTCGCTTGTGCAACGTCCTACACACACATTGCCATCTCCATTCACGAACGTGCTCTCTGGGCGAACTGTCGTGCCATGAGCCCAGAATGGCAAGTACTTTTCTAACGCTTTCCAGGCTAAGCAGTGCAGATCAACCCTTCGATAAGTGAACGTAGCTACTGTAACTCACGAGTGGGTTCCAATCACAGCGCGGCCTCGTCAAGCCCATCGCCTCGTTCAATGCCAAGTGGCATTGTCCACGACCTTAAGACCCTGCCCGGGAAACCGACAGAGACAGAACCATCCACAATGAGGGCCGACAGAATGATTGGCAGCCATTGGGACCAGGACCGCCTGGCAAACGCGCCACGACCGGTACGCCAGCAAGACCACACACGCCAAAACGGAGAGACACATCGACCGGGACAGCCTGGAAAACCGAGGACTACATCCATGTGCACATCGTTCGATGTGATGGGCCAAGACTATACGGCAAGAATAGAGTTGAAATCACGGCCTAAAGGCAGCCGGCCGAGGGAGGCCAGGCAAGGGCCAGGGGCCAAGGGGACCCCACGACTTCAAGGTTTGGAGAGTTCACAGTCCGAGTTTCCAGATCCTCAACATCAGGAAACTTTTTATTGCCATGCATACCCGATTGAGAAAGTATCCGGAGTCTGGGGAGGGTTTCTTATTAAACGGATCGCCTGTAGTAGTAAGTAGCAATAATTATCGCCGTCTCCGTCGTGGTGGTGCTCGTGACACCTCTGGGGTTCTACTAGTCCCACTGCACTTCAAGCAAACATGACAATGTACATCAATGTACCGACAATGTACCTACGCGGAAGTCAGGCTTCCAGCACAGCCGGAGATCACGTCGCCCAATGTTCAAAACAGTGACAATGCCAAAGGGTCGAAGTAATAGTATAGTATATACTTTGGGGGCCCAGATACCTAATATGTACTTACTACAATGATACTTGGACCCTTTGGGAATACAAAAAAGGAAGGCTGCCAGTCGTCGACGCTGCGGTGCCGGCCGGAGGCACAGCAACTTACATGCATGTGGGTGGTTGTCAAAATTAAGGTCCCTTTTTGGGTACCCTAAATGATAGGTGCCTGTGTTATAATCGGTACCCAAAACGGGGCCATAATTTTAACAACCACCCATGTCGAAGATGGAGCCGAAGAATTATTCGAGCGCGATGCAACTGGAGTGTTGCTCTCGAGGCTTCTGGCTACGAAGCCTTGTGCTGCCTAGGAAAATCTGGCCGTTTGTGCTGGTTATATGGGCGCTTTAGCTCTAGGCAGGTCACGCTCCACCACTTCGGATCCCTATCTGCCTTGCAGAGATGAATAGTCACATCCTTGCCGGTCGGATCGATCTTGAACTTGCAGCAGTCCACCACCAGGCCTCCCGGAAGGCTACTTGAGGAAGCCGTCCAGGTATAGCCTTCGCAGTCAAGCGCTCTGACAACAAAGCTGTTCGAATGAAAGCCAACTTGCACATCCCGGAAAGTCGTCCCCAGGGGGCTGAAGTGCTTAGGTGTGATTCGAAGAATCACAAACCCAGCATGCTCTGCAGGCTTTGGATAAGCCGGCTGGAGCCTCTCATCGTTCTCCACAACAACTCTATTGCCCGAGACGCGGGGCCCCCGCGTTTGTGATGCCACCGGGCCAGGCTGCAGTGGCAATGCCCTTCGTCTCGTCTCGGACTTAGCGCTGTGCCACGAAGCTGACAGGTTCGAGGAACCAGAACTCTCGAAGGAGACTGACCGACGTTGACCGTGTAGTGAGACTCGCTGGGAGCTCGCACCGGCAGTGCTGCCGAGTTGGCGGACCATGTCTTGACGAGGCCTCACATTTTTGCACCGCAGCGATTCATCTTCCAGGAAAGACTCGTGACCTGCCCTTGCAGACTTTCTCATCTTTTCTTCCGGAAGAGTGATGTCCGCAGCACCTGCGAAGACCCTCGAATCTTTCTCGTCGTCCGTGCCTGCCACGCTATTGCCGAGGCAAGTCAGGAGCCTAGGGTTGAACTGAGATAAGCTCGTGGGTTGCAGCTCCCTAGAAGGGTCCACAAGGTCTTGACGGAATTACAGCCTGCTTGAGTCTAACTTCTTGGATGTAGCAACATGGTCTGAGATGCATCAGAAAGCACACCACTACTGCTGTGGGGAGGGAAGGGGACGTGCAGGTTTCGGAGGTTTGGGATTTCGAATTAAGAAGAAGTATAGGGTTTAGCTTAGGGAGCAACCAGTCTGCGACATGAGATGAACATCATAAGTCACGTTTAGCCGACATGCGGGGAGTTGCAATGATACTGAACCACGGGGAGCCGTACTACAACCACATGACATCGCGGGGGAACGTCTGACTAGAGACTGTAGAAAGGCTTGGGTCCAGACGTCTTGCGACACGGTCAAAACATCTCAGTTGCACCAGTTGACGTGGAGACTCTGACCACACATGTAATCGTTTGTTTCACCGCTCTGCTGATACTGGCTGGATTTGTGTGTGGGGCTTCTCTGTGACATTTTGCTCGGTTTGCTCTTGCCTGCAATCCTGGTCCTGTCCTCGTTCAGTCCCATCTTCGTCTACGCGCGACTATGCTGTACTTCAACACAGCATTCATGCTCGCATTCCTCTTCCGGCCTCGCTGCTAAAAGTATCCCAAGGCTTCTGTCTTATGGTGGCACCTTCGCGTGTCTGCGCCTTCGGGGCCAGTCGGCTGCCAGTGTCGTGACAACACAAACAGCGCACTGAGACCCAAACGACGAACATGCAAGCACGACGGATGAATGAAGATCTGATATAGCCGACATGACCAAAGAAGTGTCGATGTCCACAAAGGTATGCTGAGGGGATTACAGTTTGATTTTTGAAGTCGGCTCGCTTCCCGCCTTCTGCCCGGATGTTCGCTGACATCTTGTATCTCTGCTGCCAGGGTTGCCACCGCACGGAGAGCGAACCTGTCAAAATTTGACATACAACCACTTGGGTAGTCCCGTCCCCGTACTCTTGAACTGACTCCCGCAAGGCTAAAACAACATCGAGTCGCGAACTCTGAGGCTCTACGCTATCATAAAACACAGAAACAGGAAGACAAGACAGAAAGACACTTGGAAACAGGCACGGCAAAGGAGAGAAAGAGAGAGAGAGTCGCAGCGAGATGGAGGAAAAAACGAGTACCAGTACTGCCAAGCTGCATGTCAACTTGCCAGTCTACTCTTGGCAAACATTCGAGGAACAATCGCTCGGCACTGCTGGCCACTTCCCATCCAGCCTGCAACCCTACCTAACCCCCAAAACCCTACAGCCCCGCCTCAGGACAAGGCAACGACAGGGAGAGTCGGCGGTCGGCGCTCGAAATACGAGCCCAGCCTATACAAACTTGCTTCGTTGAGCCTCGTGGAAGAACCAGCGATGCAAGCAATCAAGACTCCGAAAATGAAGGACGCTACTATAGGAGCCTTATAAGGTTTAGGGGCCCATTATACTATTATCATAATAAGGAAGCCCCAAAAATAGCACTTGTATTGGTAATTGTTTAGGCCCCAATCTGAATGCACCCTGTGCCAGAACTCCTGAGTCGAGGAAGCACAGGTTTAGAAGCCTTCCTTCCGTTACTTGGAGGGTCGGGGGACTTAGTAACTGGTTATTTTAGGGACTTATAAGTACCATAACCCCAACTAGGGTCCCTTTTAGGTTACTTATAAGTCTACTTACTACCTACTTACTAAGTCCCCCGACCCTCCAAGAATATTCTAACCCGAGGCCAGTCCGGACAAATTTCTGATCGTTAGCCCTAAGATTTGGCCTTGATTGGGATCCTACACCCTAAACCCTAATGACGTTAGAGGCAAGGTATAGCTGAATGTGTGCATGGACCCCCGGGGTGGCAGCTCAGACAAGTTCTACAAGCACTTGTTGGGGTGCTCACATACGCACACACGTTTCATTCTGCAGGTGCGTTCCAGACAAGGGACAATTAGGAATGCATGTGACATTGAGTCTAAACAGTATGGCTGCATTGGCCAAATCTTGGGGCCAAGTGTTCTGAACAGCTAAACACCTTAAGGACCCTAAATTCCTTATTACGGAGAATGCAGGATTAATATCATCAACCGTATTTCCTTCTCACAGTAGCAGGAAGGATCTAGCCGACGCGACTTCGAGCTTGCGGGCTACGTCTACGTCCTGTAAACAATAATCGCAGCAAGGGATACCTACTATAGGGCCCTCAATAATTAGAATAGGGTCTTTGGGGCCCATTGTACTATAATAACTATAATAAGGAATACCCAATCCAGTATATAATGAATACCTGTTCAGCAACTCAGACCCTGATCATAAATCTCAACCTGACACCTTGGGCCCCAGCAAACGGTTCGCTTGCAGTTTTGAAGGCTTCGGGTTTGGGGTCTGCCAATGCATCAGGCAACTTGGGGTTTCAGGGTTTGGGACATAAAACGTACGGCTTGTGTTTTCAAGCAGTCCTTAGTCGCTGATTTCAGCTTGAAGGTCAGAGTCAGGGCTTACGGTGCATAAGCATTGGGGGTTTGTCTACGACTAAACTTCAAAACCCTAAACACGGACATCTGGGGAGCCACGCCGAGGACGTCAGGCACTCTCAGGCACATCAGGTTGTAGCATAGCAAGTGCCTGCTGCGTCATGCTGGCTTCTCGTGGGTTGTGATTGGCTTGATCGTGCGGCTGGAATATCTCGTCTAGGGTGTCTGGAATTCCGAGACCTGGAATCTCCTTCAGAATTACCACAACCTCCGCAGCAACTGTCACCATCATTCCACCCAGTACTTCGTCATCGTGATCCTCATCAAGAACAGCACCTACATACTCGCAAACATCACGCGCACCCTCATCGTGATTGAATTTTTGTCCTGAGTCATAAGCGTCAGCACCATCACCGCCATGATGGCCATGGCCCGGCTTTCGTCACTCTCGTCAAGCCATGAAACAAAGTGCTCTGCAATGCCACTGGTCAAAATGACCATCATCGTCGTCACACGATCATCATTCCAAGCATTGTCACGAAAGTCAGCGAGGAAGTCTGGAATCACGTTCATCTGAGCTCGCGTCCTGGGCTACAGCACCGACATGTTCATTATCAACACTATGACTATGACCGTTGCATTACCACAAGCATCATAGTCGCCAAAGGCATACCCAATATTTTAGTAAGCAGGCACTGGCAAGCTGTCTTCTTCATCGTTCTCATAGACTCCCTCCTGAGCGAAAACATAGGCTCTGTCACCAGCAACCAAGTCTTCCATCGTCGTCACATCCAGATCGAACTACCTACACAACTACCGCAGCGGCTGTTACTACTACCACTAGCATCACCCACACCACCACCAACACCACCGGCACCTCTGCTGCCGCCACCACCACCACCGCCACCACCACCACCACCACTACCACCACTACAAACACCAACACGCCGACTGCTACCGCCTCTAGTGGCGCTTCTGTTGCAAACGGCTACGGCTCCAAAAGGGTGTTGGGTGTTGGTGGTGTTTTGCTGCCGCTAAATTCTGAACCTGAATCTACAGGCCGTTCCAGCCGTTGTGCCCTGCCAGGTGTTATCACAAACACCACCCTTCACAGAAGCCGACGGCATAAACATGGAAGGGAGACGGCACGGAAAACTCCAAGGACTTGCCAGCATCCTCAGATCCCCCAAAGTGTGGACTAACAGTGTACCTTTAGATCCTACCTTGCGGCGCTCTCCGGTCATACCAAACCATTCTAGTGCGATAAGCTCCGTATGTTCACAAGGGTACAAGGATTGACAAGACCAACGTCAATGATGAAAAACAAACCAAGTACACAGCCAATGAGCGAGAAGCACACAGGCCTAAAACCTGTAGCACATGAACAGAAACTCGGAGCATGCAGACAATACTGAGGTCCTGCTTGCCGGAAAAGAAGATGCATATGCCAATACGTGTGTGTGTGTTTGTGTACATGCTTCCTCTTGTGTTTTTCTCTCTCTCTGTATATGTATATATATATATATATAAAGAGAGAGATACATATATATATATATATATATATGCATTTCTTTAAATTCCTGTACAAACATATCATTTGTGCATGTGCTTGTTCAGAAATACATACATATACATATCTACATACATGCATACATACATACATACCTGCCTACTTACAAACATACCTACAGACAGACAGACGGACAGACAGTCAGCCAGCCAGCCAGATAGACATACATAATTAATATTCACATACACCTCCAGGGCATCAACTGCTCGCACGGTTCTTAGAACCGACCGTTGTAGCTGAATCTGCACACATAGGCTCTGTACGCCCTGAAGACACATCTATAGCCAAGCACTCCAAAGATCTGCGGCCGTAGCATGTAGCTTGCAAGTGGGCTGCAATACCTTTAATGAACTTAAATGTGACATTAGCCTGATGAAAGCCTTATCTTTTACCTGCATACTTCGGCCTCAGCCCTAGCCTTAAACCCTACTTATAACCCTGATTAAAGCCCTGCTTACTGAATCCCTTCATCCTTCAAGCAGGGCTTCATCCTTTAAGCAGGGGTCCAAGCTCCTGAAAGACATCAGTATAGAGTATAGAGTAGGAAGAGAAACGCAGATGAGAACTCCAGGCAACTGATGTAGGGGCTTTCAGGCTCATCATTGCGCATTTTGGGCCAAGGGCTGCGCGTGGCTTTCGCTTGGATTTCAGTCTAGGATTTGTGACACGGATGTCGCGTGCATTTAGTATAGCTTTTGAGGGACTGTAAGGGAACATTATTCCTACTTATTCAAAGCCCTACACTAGCAGAAGCCCCCCCCCCACACACACACACACACACTGAACCTTATAATTACCCTGCACTTGGAATACCTGACTGTAAAGTCCCAAGGCCACGACCACGATCATAAGCAGGGCTAAGGTCAAAGCGCCTGCAGGATTGCAGGGTTTGGGGTCAAGGGTCTACTTAGAGGATCATGGGACTTAGTAACTAGGGTTATAAGTAATGTGCCTATAGCTATAATTACTTACAGCCTCAATTAGAGTCCTTATAACCTTACTTACTAACTCCCATGATCCTCTAAGTAGAGTCCGCTAGCAATCTTCAGAAGTCGGCACTCCCTGGCGCTTACCAGGGAATGAGGGAATTGGATTATGGGGACCACTTTGGGGATTATATAGGGGCTACTATAGGGATCCATTCGCCCATTCCCTACTAAGCACCAGGGAGTGCAGGGTGTGGTTCTGTTGTCGTTGAGGGCTTCCGGTTTGCAAACGATCAAAGCTACCGATCTGAGGAAACGATTCGGTGATGAGCAAAACGCGGTGTAGGGTTGAGGGTTTAGGGTTTGGGTTTAGGGTTTATGTTCAGGGTTTGCGGTAGAGTGGCGCATGATGGCTCAACACCACTCATGCAAACCCTAAACTCATCCAACCCTAAATTACTAAACCCTACACCCCTACACCCTAAACCCTACCAGCGGTTGCCTAGAACGACGACGCCGTCCCAGCTGCTTGTGGATCGGCCAGGAAGACGGGCCTTGGTCGACAGAAGCACCCCCTGAGGGCACTGAGCCATTGATCGGGACATAAACAAATGAAAGGGCTGGTTATCGGTTCGATGCGGACAGGGTTGACCCCAACAGGGTAACTCCAAGCACAGCCCAGACTGCTCAAACGGGAGACGAAACACCTGTTTGCCCCGGCGTTACTGCGTTGACCCTGAAAAAGGCAAAGCGGTACTACTGGGGAAGCTAGAAGCCCATCTACCGCAATTTAGGAGCCTTCCCTGACCTTCCAACATCCCTGAAGTCAGGAATGTACTCTTACTAGAGATCCTGCTATAATCTAAGGTATATGCCGCAGTGAAGGGGTCTTGGAGTGTCTGGGCTGGTGAATAAAAC